GAAAGGAACAAAACCCGCCCCATTCTGATAGGCGACCTCCAGCTCTCCATTTGCTGTACGTCGTCCGAGCGACGCAAAGGTCTCATAGCTTTCATTCCATCAAGAATAAAATATACACACACAAAAAATATGTGACACCAGAATTGGCATGTCTGCCACTGGTGCTCTTCACAGAAAAGAGCAGGTTCGCCCTGAGCACCTGTGATAGACGTGAAATGGTCTGGAGAGGCCGAGGAGAACGCTATGCTTCCTGCAACATTGTTCAGCTTCTTTTTGGTGGGTCAGTGACAGTCTGGGGAGGCGTATCCATGGAGGGACGCACACCAGGACAGAATCCTTGAACCTATGGTGGGACCCGGAGGTTGAGCTGACCTTCCAACTGGATGTCGTGGCGCCTTTGGACAGTAGGTGTGAAGAGAGTAAACTAGTCTGTTGCTAGTCAACTTCTCCTTATATTGACATACTAATCACACAGAGCAGCCAGCGCGGCTTGAAAAATCGCCTCTCCGCGGCGTTTGGGCATTGCTGCAAAGTCCCTGTGACTTTTGAGGGTGCCTTCCACTACATTGACACCAAAGGACTTGATGGTGCACATCACAACGACGTCTGAGCAGGCCGATAAACTCCACTCCCACAGACTCTTTGTTTTTCAAGACTTTTTGAAACTCCCTCTGGAGTCAATGATAGCGGTTACAGAACCCTTTCCCATATGCAGCCTTCACATTATCACACACTGCAGGTTTTCTCCGTATCATGCGATACACGCTAACTTTAAATGTCCTTGGTTTACTGCAGACTAACTGGGTTCTAGCCAGACATTGGATATGCATGCAGTCGCCTGCAATGAATATATATATATATAGAAAAAAGTAGCCACGGGTGGAGTTTGTAACTTCAAAGGCAGTTTGGGAAGTAGTTTGGGAAATAGGCGAGAAATAACAAGAGCCCGAGACGCACGAAGAACTGCCAGGTTGTGAGATGGGATAACAAGAATGAGTTCCCCGCACTCACACTCACTGCTAATCCAGTTCTGACCCATTAACCGCCGCAGACAGGTTAACAGGCCTTTGAAGAAGGACTTTCCCAAACCACCCGGGAGGATTAGCACGTCTCCAAAGCCAAAGACTCGCCGGCTGCAGTCTTTGCCCTCCGACGGCCCTGCTGGAGGCGTCCTGGCTGAATACACCGTACTAACTTCAATTCTTTGGGATCTTTTATTTACCACGGCCTCTGGCGTACCGGCTACAAAAAACGCAGATGAAAAAAAGCAAGGCGTTTGGTTGCTCTTTTAGAGCAACAGGAGGCTGGAAACAACAGAACAAAAGGTTGGAATTGGTATCTCACTGTATTTATTTGTAGTTAGATGAAATTCATTGCACTGATGTTACACATTTTGAATGCTGGCATTAATCCATCACAATGGTTCAGTCATCAGCCGCTGGTGAGTCAGAACCAGCTTCCTCTTCTCACGGGACCAGCTGATTGCATATTCTGCAGTCCTGAATCATCCGTTCATTTTCAGCTAACACCTTCAACCATTTACCATTATTTACTCAACATGTGGATTCAATGGATTTTTTTCATGTATCATTAGAGCTACAACCGCTGGACGAAGTGGCCCTGGTTGGGCGAACCCTGCTGTAAACAGAGAGATGGGCATTCTCTCAGGCTCCAACAGAAACAGGATGTGCACGGACCGGAAAATATCATCGGTTGTTTACAAAGCAGCTCTGCTCAGCCGGAAGAGCCAAGCTCACCAAACCACACCAACAGAACCCCTGGGAGCTCGGCAATACGAGCAACATGCGGGACGTCCCGCGGAGTGACTGGATTTCTTCACTTTATTATCAAAAGGGGAGTGTCAAAGGGGATCAGAGGGGGGTCTGGGCTGTTCTGCTCCTCACAAGTGTTGGGGTCCGGGTCTAGCCGCTCTCCCCCTGCCACATCTGGTCTCCTCAGGGCTGTTGCTGGCGGCGGGTGAGGCGGAGACACCGCAATAGGGCTTTCTGCTCATGGGACAGCAGCTGGAGCAACAGGAAAGCCCACTCCGGCCAGTCAATTCATTGATTGAACAGTTTGAAATTAAAGAAGACTGGGAAGGAAAATGTTTACAAAAGGCGATGATTGAATCCTTCACACACAGAAGATCCCGCAGTTTTGTTCCTCTTGTTTTCTTTAACATCTTGTTAAAGCGAAAACGTTTGCTCCAAACGCACGTCCGTGGAGAGCTGCTGGAGCGAAAGGTTCACCGCTGTGTTTTACCGTGAATCCCGTCTGAAAACCCAAATCGCTTCCATACAACCACGGGTCGGCCTGAGACCACATGGAGGAACCAAAGCCCCATCTGTACCCAGCTGTGGGGGGTTTCTTCTTTGATTTCCCATCAGCCAAAGACACCCCCCCACCTCCTACCCTTAATCTGTAGACTAGTCAGACCAAGCTGACAGACCTAAGCCTTTCACTGAAAGCCGCACACAGGGGCCAGTGTGACCCCCCCCAGGGCCTTTGTTGCATCTTCAAAATAAGTCTGCTCTATTCTCAAGCAGCATCTGTGTCGATATAACTGCCAGTCCACTAACAAGCTGAAAGAAGAGGAAATATTTCATCAAAAACAAAAAGACGAAATCCTGCTCTGATCCTGTAGAACGACACAAAGAGAGAGACGGCCAGGGACACAGAAAGAATCAGTGAGCGCCTTGAAGCTTGGTTCGCGAGGGTGGTGTCTACTTTAGGCTTACAGTCGGAAAGAACCGGGCCGACGCAGAGGAAGAGGTGGGAATGCAAATGGGGAGTTGTGGGGAATCCCTCCGAGATAGCTCTCCTCGCTGGTCTGCGCCGCGCCAAAGAATTCAGATGAGCAAACCACATGCTCAACAGAGTCACACGTAAGCTCCTGACTGAGACACAAAAAGGAGCAGACAAACGTCAAGAATCCGAAAGCGGAGCAGAAAATCCATCAACCATCAGCTATTATATTATTCCGTCGCACGTCTCTTGACAGAACGTCAATGACTCGACTTTTCAAGGAGTCCGATGTGACGGATGGAAAAGGACGCGTTCCCACTCCTGCGATCAGATGAGGGGGAGCGGTGTGACTCGGCATTCAGCTGGCGCCGTTAAATCTACGGCTGCACGGGAAGCGGTGCGAATGACGCCCGCGTGCGACGGGACTCACGAATGATTAGACCAAAAGCAACGAGCCGGGCCGCAATGATGCAACTTGTGGCCGGGCGGATGGTGAGTGTCGTGCCATTAGCTGTTTGTGTCACGTCATTTCGGAGCGATCCGCCGAGCCGCCTAATGGAAACACGTCTTGGGTCGTCAAGGGGCAATTTTCACCCCGAGTGTTAGTTTTAGCAGCCCGCTTGCCGTGTTTTTCCAGTTTTATAGATGGCAAACATCTGCAACGTCTGGTGCAAATGGACAAGAGGGGAGTGTGGGGGTGTGGGGGGGGTTGTAAGCAAGTTCAGAGACGCTTACAGCACAAACAGCCACGGGTCTGTTTAAATGTAGCAGCTCATCATTCACATCCTGCCAGGAAACAAACTCATCTGCAGCCTGGTGTCAAAAAAAAAGAAGAAGAGAAGACACACGACTGCAGATGACAACGTGGGACTACAATGTGGCAAGGACCCTCTCTGGGCCCATGGCTCCCCATGCAGCAGTCTAATCAGCCTGCTGTACAGAGAGAACATCGTGCACAGGGGGAAATTGTGTCATTTTTGGAGCAGGTGGTCTGTGGTCTCGCTGTTTGTCTCAGCATTCCACCGGGAGACGGCGGCGGCGATGGCAAACCAACAAGCTGCGAACTTTTACTCTTCCAACTTGCACTGCAAATACGCTTTGTACATCACGTAAAATGAATCCCACGAATGATGGGTACCTATTTTTTCCCTCTGTACAATTCACCTTATTCCATATTGTCCCATGAACGACTTCAGACTATGTATATATATATAAAAATGTCCTTGGCCGTCTCGCATCTCCAGCTCATCGTCATCCCTCCTCGCCGTTCCCACTTATCATATCAGAAACAGCACTGGCTCAATTATATATTTGTGAGCACTCCAAACAGAAGAAAATGCCTGGAATTGGTTTCTGGTCCGTCTCTGGATACACATCGAAAAAGCGCAGCTGTCTCCCAGTCAAACAGTGGGCTCCCGTTTAAACTTGTGTGTGTGTGCGTGTGTGCTGCTTTTATCTAAAAAGACACAGTCCAAACAGCTGAGTTGGGGAGGAGGAAAAATGCTGTACAAGTCTGAGCTCAGAGCAGAATGTTTTTTTTTTTTAAAGAGGATGCAGTCACAACTCATTGGAGACCGGCTTGAACCACAATGTCAATCAAAGGAGGCATCTGTCTGTCGGTCAGCGGGCGGCTGTGGGACACAGACCGGTGACCTGTGGAGCTGAACCATCATCTCAACCGAGGATGGTTCCTCGCGTCAAGGCTTCATTTGGCGCTAGCCGGCTAAGCTAACGTCGGCTAGCCAACTTTGCCCGAGCCGGTGTGTCGGCACAGCGGTGTGACAGCGTTAGTGGGAGAGCTCTCTGGTGTTGTCATTGTGTGTCTATGGTGTGTGGGTTTGGGAGGACGTGCGAGACGTTATCACGCGTTTGGGTCCCTTTAAAGTTATAGCAACTATTTAAAATGCCAGAGCAGCACAATACATTAGCTAGAATACTTTGGGACCCGTGTTATGGCTGGTGGTGGTTACTGGCGACAGCCACTGGGTCGGGACTATGTCCAAGAACCATAATATCCCAAATCAGCCGCGTATGTCGGTCAGTCCTCCGGTATCAGTTTGTACTGAGAAAATAATGAACGCTAATACTTAAAATGCATCGCTGCCATTGACAAAATCGTGGGAACACAAGGGTGAAGAACCGGCGGAAAGCCAACTCCATGGCCCATGGGAACGATCCCATCCAGCAAATACACGTATCCTCCTAGCTAGTTTGTCTAGGAACATACTTGGGGGGTTAGAAGCATTGCTAGCTACCTGTTAGTCGCAGCTTCACAGGGCCGTTCCGCCGGGCTCCTTGGTTAGACATCTCCTCCCGGTTCCAGCCTCCACCACTCGTAATAAAAATGTGTGGCTAGCAGTAAAAAAAATAAGGTTTATCAAGCTCTCCGCCAGTTTTAGACAATAATGGAGTCACGGCATTGTGGCCCGGATGTGAACCGCACTGCCATAGCGATCGCTCACAATTACAAACAAAAAAAAATAACGAAATCGCGAGCGTAGCAAAGTGCATTTACTACGACTGGCAGCTCCCGGGGGGGAGACTCGGAGGGCGGGCAGCCGGGGCGACGCTTGCGACGCGGGGTCAGTCTTCACATCCTCGAGCGCAGCCTCGGTCCTCCTCGCCGCGCGCGCACAGCTGAACTGTTGAGCCTCCGGTGAGGATCCGCTCCAGGAGGCTGCTGCTGGGAGCTGTCCGGTGACCACGACGTCATAGGGGAGGGGGGTCTCCAACATGTGGCACCTCGGTTATTCACACACTGGCCTCAGTGTTGTCCTCGGGCTGGCGATGGGCTTTCCACTTTGATGGCTTCAGTAAGTACAGATTTACATGTTTGATGACAATTTAGGACTTTTAGTACAGAAGCTAGAGAAGTCTGACAGACACCGGTCACAATAGTGGGCTCTTTGGAATATAAAAAGGAAATTGAGCCTATCAGATTCAACTAATTTACAGTGGATTGAACCGTAATACTGACAGTGAACCAACATGTTTAATACTAAAGGAGCCACCACGAATATGAAATTGTCAGACACTAAAAGAAAGTGCACGTCCACATTCTGAAACTTACCAGTTTTCCAAGACAATGTCATTATTGCGGGTATGAAGCATTAAGGTTACTCAAAAATGTAAAGTGCTTTGTGTTTATTGCATGCACATTACTGGTGGTTACTAGTCATAAAATGCCTACAAATCAGTTGGATGGGCTCACTCACCAAGAAAGCTCAACTATAAAAACATTTGAGTAAGGAAATAAAAAAAAAAAAAAATCAAGACAAAGTTTGGATTTACAGAGATGCTCCTGTAAATCCAAAGCCATTGCAAATACTATCTTGTTTGTTTAGAATATACTTTGAATGAAGCAATAAAGTAGACTTAACAGGGAAAAATAAAAAATATACACAACACATGATCCGACAACTTTATTTACAATCATGTTATTTTTCCACATTAAAAGGTATGTACAATACATACAAAAGAACAATTACATGAAGAAAAGACAAACAGTAGAAACAGACACAGTAAACTTGAGAAGTATTAGACTGGTAATCTAGAAGTTGAAAGAGTTCTGGTTTTCACTGATATTAAATGCATAACCGTCATCCGTAGCTTCTGGAACCACACTCTGCACCACCTCGTCCTTTAATGAACAGAAAACAAAAGTATGCAATAAAAAACGCGTACAAAAAGTTAATGAGTTATTTTTAAAAAAGCGACTTACCTCGTCAGAGAAGTATTTCTCAATCAGATTGAGGGATGCTTTGTAGATCATCTCATTCTCATGAGACTGCAGCGCCTCAATCTTGTCCAGTCCGCCGCATTCTTCCACCATTAGACCCAGCTTGTCTGACTCTCCAATTTTGTCCCCGGCCTGGTAGGAAAACACAGAATAGACTCATTTCAATCCCTGCAAGGACCATTACGCTCAAAGCCGTCAAAACAGATAACGCACATCTGTATTCCTCCATGAAAGTACTCACCATGAAGATATTTGTAATGGCATCCAAGATGACGAGAACAATTTTACTGTCCTTAGAGGAGAGGAGATTCAGGAGAGGCTCAAGCACATTGGCTTGTACGAGGTAAACCACCTGCTCAACGGTGCCCCCACTGGTGAAGTTTGTAACTGCCCACACTGCCTCCTTCTGAGTTTTGTAATCACCCTGCAAAGAAAGGACAAGAGAATGATGAGCCACAGACATAAAACGTTAAGACTGACATGGTGTTGACTTACTCGCTAACGCGCAAACACAATCAAAGACAAACATACCTCCACCAGTGTGTTGACCAGGTAAGGTACGAGGCCTGCGTCGATGACCTCCTGGATTTGGCCGTCTTTCCCTGCTGTGATGTTGGACAGAGTCCAGGCGGCCTCCTTCTGAATGTTGGCCTTCTTGTGGCACAGGAGCCGGGGGAACATGGACAGGGCCCCGGCATTCAGCACCGCCTGGGTCTGCTCATCTGTGCCAGTCACAATGTTGCCGATGGCACGCAGCGCTGGCGTCTGAGAGGGAGGGGGGGATAAGAGGGGATGTCATTCTTTGGCCTGCAAGAACCCACAGATGTGGCACACAGATGCACATGCTGGAAGAATTGTATACGTACAACGACGGGCAGCTCTTCAAAGCCCAGGAGATTCACCAGGCGAGGAATCAATCCAGTCTGGACCATCACCTCGATGCGGTCATTAGAGCCATCGGTCAGGTAGGAAACGGCCCAACACGCGTCGGCCAACACCTCCCGGTCATCATGGTGCAGCAAGCGAACCAGAGCTGGTAGGATCTGTTGTACCGCGGTCATAGGGGGGGAGGGGTTCTTGTTGCGACAGAGGTTAGACAGCGTCCATGTGACATTCCGCATGTAGCCAGTCTGCAAAGGAAATAAAGTAGAGGAGATGGGCTGGTGTTAGTTTGAGATGAGGCGGCACGCTGGTTGCGTTGGAGCACCCTCTAGTGGGCAGAGGGGGGGATGAATGAGATGCTTACACTGAATGCAGACAGGTCAGGGACTGCCAGCAGACTGAGCAGAGGGGCCACAGCGCCATGTTTAATGACCCGGTCTCTGAGAGCCGACCCGTCACCTACAAGACAAATGCATTTACAGGACTTTGCGTCCAGCCAAGTAGTGGCAAGAAAATCCAGACAAATTCTATAAATAAACATCACCAGTTACCTGCAATGTTTCCAAGGGCCCACACCGCTTGCTCGCTGATGTGCTGGTGCTGCGAGGTGACCAGGCTGATGAAGGCGGGGATGGCCCCGCCCTCCACCACCGCAGCGGTCTGGTCACATGTCCCAGAGGCGATGTTGGTCAGAGCCCACGAGGCCTCAAACTGGATCGGAGGACAGTCGACCAGCCCCAGGAAGGAGACAAACTTGGGGATCAGGCCGGCACTGATCATCTGGTTGATGGGGGGGTTCTTGTCACGAGACAGGAGCTTCCTGCAGTCGGGCAGTACGGTAAAAGTCAGTCACCATGGGAGTAGTGAATAGTTAAGATAGCGCTAGTTATTAAATAGTCACTAACCTGGCAGCCTGCGTAGCCTGAAGCTGGGACTCAACGTCGCTGCCGTTCACACCAGAGACGATCTCTTCAACGGTCCACTGTCTGGCGGCCTGCCGAAGGGGAACAATGAGTTTGGATTATCTAACGTGTTCTGGCCAAATATCCCCGATAGACATATTAGGAGTTGGTTTTAACCAAGTATTTTGAGGGTGGGGTCTGTGTTGCTTAAACACCGGTCAGTAGATGTGATTTAAAAAAAACACAGGTGTCTATTTATACACTGATGAAGCCATAAAAAGCCTCAACGCGTTATATGTGGAAGTGGTGTGCACCTTTATGTAAAATAAACGGTTCAAAAGAATCAAACAAAAATCAATGTAAACAAGGAGGCATACCAGGCAGTTCTGAGTCCTTTCCTGTAGAGGAGAAGTCGCCTCGTCGGGAAACGCAGACACATTTCTCCTCTTGAACATCTGGTCATCTTTCTTAGCCTTGCGGAGCTCCACGTTCACCTCCACCCTCCTGCGGCGCAGCTCCTGCGTTCGTTTGAGGCAAAGTCAACTTTTAACTTCCTTTTTTTTTAAGTGCAACTGGCGCCACACGAAGCCGCCATGACGCAACGAAGTACTCACGTTGGCATCTTTGCCTTTGTTCTTGAACTTGTTCAGACGTTCCACGTTCTCAGACATTGTTTCAAGCGACCAGGAGACGAAGCGGCAGCGAAACCTCGTGTCGTGCGGAGTTATTTCTGCGGACAAAGAGGGTTTTAAGATGTTAGCTAACGTACAAGTAGCCCGCGCCGATGACAAACACGTCACGCCGTCGCTTTGACGCTCAAATAAACCTGCCAACAGCTCAGCGAGGTTCACAATGCGGTCACCACCAACAGGGAAAAACCGTCAAAACGCCGCCAAATTCAATAACACGGCGTTAATTTGAGTATGACCGTGCGGGCGTTTGACACGCGCTTACCTAATTCTCGCTCAAGTGGATGTGGTATCCGGAAAATGCCGCACGGAGCTTTAAATTCCTGCAACAAAACCACCTGATTGGACCGTTCGAGCAAAAGCATCCGGCCGCCTCCGTTCATTGGACCGTTTCAAAAAATCACAGGACACGCAGGAAATGTCGTCACCGCGCGGAACCATCGCGATATCTCCTCGCGCGGGATTACGCTGGGTTAAATCTGACTCTGGGTCGGTGCTGCGGCCTGCTCTGTACCGTTTTCAGCCATAGACTGCGGGGTGAGCTGTTCCTGGATCGGTGCATTCCGCTCTCGGTGTGATGAACACTTAAAAAAAATGGCTTCAAATGTTCCATGTGTCTTCTTTTCATTTATTCTGGAATGTCACAACGTTTTAATTTCATCACACCTGGAATCGAATATTGAAAAATATTTTTCAAGATAAAAGAGTTTTTATTTATACCACCTCATCCAATGATGTTTTGGCAACCCGGTTTTCAAACATAGGGAAATTGCATAATCATATTTAGAGACCAACATATTTCTGCCGTTTTTCAATTAATATGAAAAATTGATTTAAGATAACAAATTACACGCGCGCACGCAAATCTTTCTCATAGTTTACATCTATGTTTTTAAAGCGTTATTATATGTAGAATCTCCACCTGCCACAAACACACAAGGAAAATAAACATTTCATTTTTATTAAGTTCCATATACATCAATATTTCTTCGAATGTAATACAAAAAAAGAAAAAGAAATCAAGTCAAAATTACATTTTTTTTCTTCTTTTTTCCTTTTTTTTCTTTTTTTACAAACAGGGCAGGACCTTCCAATATGTTGCTTCATCCTTCTCAGTCATCCACTACTGCAGAGCAATCCATTCAGAACAGCATGTTACTATAGTTTCAGGTTATAGAAGTTTAACCAAGCAGACTACTGGTGTCCAGATATTTAGCACAACTCTCTTCCATGCCACTTCAGACTAAACAATGAGGGGAAGTGGGAAAGGAAAAAAAAAAAAAAGTTCCACTGTGATATCCAAAATTTCGAAGAGAACCCATTGATACATTATGCTCAGATAAACTCCATTCTACTTCATTTTCTATTTCTCATTGGACGTGATGGAATAAACATGGAAATATGAAAGCATAAAGAGTCTTTTTTCTGCGAGGTAAACCTTTCTTCTGAAATGCCTCAGTACAGTACCCTTT